GGATTTTCATATTTGAACCCTTGGGGAATCCATCTCACCAAATATTGACCCAGTACTTGGACAAGGGGTTGGACTGGCTGGTCTTTAAGGTTCCTTTCAGCATGAAATTTTGGATCCTCTGTAAAGCATAGAGCCATGATATCTGTCCTAATAATTCTGAGTCAGGGGCCAGCTAGGTAGTGCAGTGGATAGATGATTAGACCTAGAGTCAGGAAGATCTGATTTCAATTCTGGCCTCAGACACTTATTAGCTGTGTGACCCTGGGCAAGTCACTTAATCCTATTTGCCTCAGTTTCCTCATCTGTAAAATGAGCTGGAGAAGGAAATGGCTAACCACTCCAGTATCTTTGCCAAGAAAAAACCCCAAATGGGCTCACAAAGAGTTGAACATGATCAACCAATAATAGCAACTTAGTTCAGCTAGACCAGTGGTTCTGAAACTTTTTGGTCTTATGACCCCTTTACACTCTTAAAAACTATTGAGAACCCTAAAGATATTTTGTTAATGTGTGTCTATGCATGAAATTTACCATATAGAAACTGAAACATCTTAGCATTATTATGAAAATAGTCGGCTTCATGGACCTCCTGAAAGGATCAGGGGTCCTTGGACCATAATTTGATAACTACTACCCTATACCAAACCCCTCTTTTGCAGATGAGGAAACTTGGGCCCAGAGAAATAGAGTTTCCTAAGGTCACACTTTTTAAAAGCCAGAGCTAGGATTTGAACCCAGGTCTTTGACTTCAGATCCAGCACTTTTTTCCACTTTTATACCACACTGCATCCTGGGGAAAGGAAGGAAAGGAAGCGAGGATGAGAAGGAAATATTTACTGCAATGCTATAAATTCTTTGATAGGCTTCCTGATGTTTAAAAGGGTTTTCTGCAATTAGAAGATTTGTGTTATTGTCTTTGAAAAATAACATATTATTGAATAATTGGATGTGATCTTGGTGTAAATATTTCTTCCTGACTACATTTATAGAAAATTTAATTTTTCAGCTGCGATTTCCAGAAGCACTGAGTTCTTGCCATATTAAATTATTATTCGGCATTTGGTCAATACGAGGCAATAAAAGTGTTTCCAAAACAAATTCAATTATATGGGTGAAAGGACATGACTTTTTTGCCTTCCTGTGATGAGATTTGATTAGTTCATTTTTCAAGGGAAACTCAGGAAGCAAGTGTGGGGAAATATAATCATGTGGTGTTAGTTTACTATTCTTTCTAAACAAATTCTATTCATTCAGCAAGCATTGATTGAGCTCCTCTTGTATAGAAGGCACTCTTCTAGGCACTGAAGGCCATACAAAGCAAAGGAGAAGATCAAGAGAAGAGGCTTAGTCAAGGCAGTGTCGCGTCAGGTAGCAAAAAAAAGGAAGAAGATACGGTTCTATGAACTTTAAGCTTCGTACTTTATGCTATTGTTATTCTTTCCCTTAATTCTTCAATAAAGTTTCTTAACCCTGATCTTGTCCCAGCTGAACTAACGGTCAGTTAGTCAACAAGTATTTATTAAGCACCTACTATATTCACGGCACTGAGACAAGGTCATAGGATAGGGGCCCTAGGCAGGATACTAGAAATAGTGAGAAAAGAAAGAAGGAGAAACTTTTGGCATTCAAAGACTTCTACAATTTTTAATTGCCCTTCTCTTCTGCTTTATCTCACACTATTCCACTAGGTGGCACATTGGATAGGGTGCTTGGTGGGCAGTCAGGAAAACCTGAGTTCAAATCCAGCCCTAGACACTTACTGGCTGGGTGAGCTGGGCAAGTCACTTAACCTCTATCTGCCTCCATTTTCTCAACTGTAAAATGAGGATAATAATTGCACCTACCTCCCAGGATTGTTGTGAGGATAAATGATATGATAATTGTAATGCACTTAGCATAAGTGCCTGATATGTATATAGTAGGTACTTAATAAATGCTCATTCCATGTATGCTGTGCTCCAGTCAAAGTGAATTATTCATTGACCCTCATACATGTCCCATATTGCTCCACCTCCATAGCATTGTTCCCAACGTTCTCTAAGCCTGGAATGCCATCTCTGCTTTCCATCTGCATGGTAAATAATCATGGTTTACTTTTTACTAACAGTAGAAAAAAATACAAGTGCTAAAAATACTTCATCAAAAAGCACAGTAAATTACCTGTAGACAAATATAAAATAATTTTGCTAATGCTGTAGTATATGAAATAGCTACCCCAGTCTAATTCACAGAGAAAAATGTTGATAATTTTAAATTTATAGTTTGAGAGAACTATTTATTTAAAATAAAGCTGCTATTATGATTGTGTTTAAACCTTCTGAATATTATGACCATTCCACTCCTTTTACATAATAACTCACTTAATAGCACTTTACAAAGCACTTTCTTATAAATAATATAAAGTGGGTAGTATGAGAGTTTTATTCTCCCAATTTTATGAATGAGGACACTATGGCTCAAAGAAGTTGTTGACTTGACATGATCACACAGCTAGTTTCAGAGCAAGATTTTGAACTGAGGCCTCCTGACTGGGAGACCTTTCTACTATGCCATATTGTCTCTTTTTCTACTGCTAAATGCTGTTTGCATTAAAATAATTTAAAAAAAACATTAGCAGAAGTTGCTGCTTGTACCTAATAAAACATAAGATTTAGATTTTCACTTTTTTTTCAATAACTAAAATTGTTGGAGTTGTGTGTCCACATAATGAAGATTCTGCATCAAGGAAGGGAGTTTTCCAAGAAGGAGTTACCTACACTGATATAATCACAAGTCTTGAAACCCATTCTCCATATCCCCAAATGAAGATTCTCTTATAACTTCTGAATATATAAAAGCAACTATAGCTTCACATGTATCCTAAAAGAATAGCAAGTTGGATTGCCTTATCATAGGGCTAAAATGTGACAAGAACAAGTGTTAAAATCACCATTTTTATAGATGATGAAATTACTGGCTAAAACTACTAAGTCAATTAGTTAATAAATATTTATTAAGTGTCTACTTTATACCAGGCACTGTGCTAAGTGCTGGGAATGCAAATACAAAAAAGAAAGGCAGTCCCTGCCTTCAAGGAGCTTACAATCTAATGGGAGAAGAAAAGAAAGCTGGAGGGAGGGGTGAACACAATGTTGTTATTGTTCAGTGTATCTGACTTTTTGTGACCCATTTGGTGTGTGGAGTTTTTTTTGTTTGTTTTTTGTTTGTTTGTTTTGGCAAAGATACTGGATTAGTTTGCTATTTCCTTCTCCAGCTCATTTTACAGATGAGGGAAGTGACAGGGTTAAATGACTTACCCAGGGTCACACAGCCAGTAAGTGCCTGAGGCCAGATTTGAACTCAGGAAGATGAATCTTCCTGACTCTAGGACAGACACTCTATCCACTGTGCCAGCAACCTGCTGTTAAGGAGTGCAGCTGGCTGGAAAATGAGATGGCTGGCCTGGGCACCCTCCTTAAATGGAGGTTCTGGGAAGAGCTCTCCACTCTGCCTTCCAATACGAAGAGTCCCAGGGGCAGAAAGTACTTTTGGGATGTGAGTACCAAGGCTGATGTGATCTTGCAGGATGATGAACCAGCTTTCTGTGTCCACAACGGTGAGGTCTAAAGGACCAAAGTCAAACGAATGAGTTAGCGATGGAACCCAATGTTCTGTTCCTGTCTTGATTCATAACTAAACATTCTTTCTTCCCCCAAATTATGTTTTCTGCTTCCACATCAAGTGTGCTATTAGTATTTGAGGTAAAACCCATGACTGAAGAACATTTAGTTACACTGGCTGTTTTACTCTGGTAGTAGATATATCTATGACTCTCATTGATTAGGGAGCTAACAGAAATAAGAGTCAAATGAAGGAGGCAAGCCATGGGTATTTCAGTTATAGTACATAACAGTGCTAGTCAGTGTGTAAGTGTTAGGTAAATGAAAGAGACAATGAGTGTGCTAGGAAGGAGTTCATAGAAGAGGTATGTTTCACAGGGTCAATGATGACTGCATCTGGTCAATGCCACCTACTTCACTTGAGGGAGGGATGGGAGTAGATTCTCTCTCTCTCTCTCCCTCTCTCTCTCTCTCTCTCTCTCCCCACCACTCTCCCTCCTTTTCTCTTACTTTCTCCCTTTCTCTCTCTTTCTCCTTCTCTCTTCTCTCTGTTTCTCTTTCTCCTTTTCTCCCCACCTCTCCCATCCCTCCCTTCCCACACTCCTTACCCTTCCCCGTCTTTCTTTCTCTCTCTCTCTGTCTCTCTCTCTCTCTCCCCTCCCTGTCCTTTCTCATCACTGCTGCCCGTCTTTCTTTGTTGCAGTTTGTGTGTTGGGAGGATGCCACTGCAGCCATTGCTGCCACATCCAAACCTGGAGGGGAAAAAGAACCCGTCTTCCTTAGGCCATGATCTTTCTTAGCCTAGTGCTCACAACAAACAGTCTCCTTCCCTACCAGGCAGGACTTTTCAGTCTCTCCTAGAGTAGGGAAAAAAGTAACCTGTCTCTTTAAGACTCTATTCATGGAACATAACAAAGGAGCCTGAGCTGACCTGGCAGATTGTTCTTCCAATTTCTCCTTGGCAGGGGAGTGGTACCTTGTGACAAGGACAGCATTCTGTCTCCTGTCCACATGCCTTTGTACAAACTGTCTTCCATGCCTGGGATGCATTCACTTCCACAACTCTTCCTCTTAGAATTGCTACCTCCCTTCAAAATTCTACTCAACTGCTATCTCCTATATGAGACTCCCAACTGCCGGTGCCTCCCCAAAATACTTTTTAATTTATTATATGGGTATGTGTTATTCCCCCCAATAGAGTATAAGCCCCCTGAAGGCAGGGACTGTTGTTTCATTTCTGTTCCCATGTCTGTAGTGCCTAGCATAACACCTGACAGCAGCAGGTGCTTAGTAAGTACTTGTGGATTGATTGATCAGTCTTCTAAAATCCTTTGATCCCATCCTCCTCATGTAGGCTCCTTTATGCATGAGTTTGAGCCTACTTCGCCTTTTCTCTTACAGGTATCTTCATGTCACTGTCCCTTCTGTCCATCGTGTATGGGGCTTTGCGTTGCAACATCCTGGCCATCAAGATCAAATATGACGAATATGAGGTCAATGTGAGACCTGCAGCCTATCTCTGCATCTTCCTCTGGCGGAGCTTTGAGATCGCTACACGGGTCGTGGTCCTGGTCCTTTTCAGCTCCGTCCTCCAGATCTGGATCCTCCCGGTGGTGCTTCTCAATTTCTTCGGCTTTTTTTTTTACCCTTGGATTCTCTTCTGGAGGAGTGGCTCCCCCTTTCCAGAGAATATCAAGGCCATGAGCAGAATGGGCACCACCATAGTGCTGTGCTTCCTCACCTTCCTGTATGCTGGCATCAACATGTTCTGTTGGTCGGCTGTACAGCTGAAGATCAACAGTCCTGACTTGATTAATAAGTCTCAGAACTGGTACAGGTTGACGGTCTATTACATGCTGAGGTTCATTGAGAATGCCTTCCTCCTCCTCATGTGGTACATCTATAAGACAGACATTTACATGTATGTGTGTGCCCCCTTGCTCATCCTGAAGCTGCTGATTGCATATTGCACAGCCATCCTCTTCATGCTAGTGTTTTACCAGTTTTTCCACCCTTGCAAAAAGCTCTTCTCATTTAGTCTTTCTCAAGGCCTATTGTCATGCTTCAGGTCTCTTTGCTTTCCATGTAAAAGGCAGAGACGCAGTGACCCAGCAGAAAGGGTAGAGTTGAAATCACCGGATGACTCTGAAAGCCCCATGCAGCAGCAAAAAAGTGAGCCACAGAACAGAAACCCAAACCTCAATGTCCCTTCCAATTCTTAATGGGGCCAGTAGTGAGATGGTGTCTCTCCCGGCAGCCATTGCTTATGTCTACAAGTCCTCTGGTCTTGTTTTCTGGGTCTGGCTGATGCTTGTTCAGACCACCTGTAACAACACCACACATGTCTTTGAATAGACAGGAAGTTATCCCTACAAATGCACCCTCTACTCCCTGACAGCTAGCTCGATTTATATGCCATTAGAGTATGGAATATGTGTGTGAAAGTGTATGTTTGTGCAGAGAGAGTGGCAAGGAGAGTGGCAGGTTATCAGTCCAGTGTGGTACAAAGCATGACACCCTGTTCAACAAAGGTTGTGTGTATAAATGTGAATGATTGTGTTCTCCCAGTTGGCATTGTCCTCTTTAGTTTGAAAACAGCAACAACAACAACAACAACAACAACAACAAAAGAGACAGCACACTTTTGTCACGTTGCAGGTCAGAACTTCATGGAATTTTATCTCAGCTTTTGGAAATAGGGAAACCTGAAATTGAGTTGGTTAGGTAGAATGAGGAAAAGGTCTCCCTTTTTCTTGGGTTTCCTGATTATCCTATCCAGAAACTCAGATTATCCACCAGTCCTAAGGATGGTCCTTGTGTAGCAGTCGGCGATTGGGAGTTACTGCTATGGTCATACCATGAGACCATGCCTTCACTCTCTGCATTTCTTAAGAGTGAAACCATTAAAGTCCAACCTACAGTGAGCAGTTGAACACTGACTTTTTCTGCCTGTGCTTAGTGCAAGAAGCTTCTGCTTAAATGCAGAAAGAATCTAGTCTTTTCTCCAGACTGGCTGGTGGAACTAATTGCCTGTGCATGATGAAAACAGAGAAGGGAAAGCCTATGAGCTTGATTTTCAAACCCTTGAATCTGCTGTTTTCACACTGATGATCTCTCAACTTTCCCATTCCACCCCTCAGATCATATATATTCAAGTATTTGGATCTGGAGACTTTAGGTTCCAGGTGCCCCTAAGAACAAACTTGCATTCTAGCTTTGACTTTAATTCTAGAAGCTCTGGAGTTTTCGAAAGCATTAATAAGCATTAGATATATAGGCAAACTTCTGGACCATAAGGTTCAGTTAGCATTAAAATAACTAACTGAGGGAGTTATGCAGTCTCCTTCTCTGAGAGCTTCTACCAACAGGATACCATTCTTTTTGGGATGGTTAGATGTGGGTCACTTTGAAAGCAGTCTTCTATCCTTTCAAAGTCCTTTCTCGCCTCAGGATTTTGTGAAGTCACAGAAAACCCTGAGATTTTTTTTTTTTAATTTTAGAAAGTATCATTTCTCCCAAAAAACTCAGCCAAGACCAGCATAAATTTTATAAGAAGATCACTTGGAAATTCCAGGCCAGTGTTATCCAGGTAAGATATTTTGGTTTGTATTACTTAAAGAAAAAAACTCATTTTTAAGAAAGGTAGACTAATCTTGATGTGGATCTTAGTGCTACCACCCTTCTCCACTGCCCCAAAGAAATTAAGTAACCAAAAATCCAATGTCAATTTAGGATCCCTCCTTTTTTTTTTTTTTGATACATTCTGAATCTGTAGTAATGATGACAAACTGAAGAAGGCTTCTGATTCAACCCATTCCTCCTTTATTCACCTCTTCAATTTGGTACTCTGTGTGTGGGTATGTTGTGTGTATAGATGTGTGTTGACATGAAGCTGGGTAACATTTATTCAATTGTCTAGGGGAAACTATGATCCAATACCTTTATTTTTAACATTAAAAATTTTTCCCCTGTAACACCTGGAACCAGGTTGAAACAAAGACATCATTTGACATCATTAAAAATGAAATAATGGAATTTTAGAATATAAGATAAGCTTAGACCAAGGACATTAAATGAACCATATTGTGTCAGGGATCCAGTCTTTTTGTATGGCTATACTGTCTAGTAAGATGTATTTGTCAAAATTCTCACTTTTATTTGTAATTCACATTGGTTTGAATTTCATATAGAAAACATAAAATGTACATACACAAAGACATACAATTTGATGCACTGTTTTTGTTATATTCATGGAAAATGAGACAATATAAATGTTTTTCACCCCTAAAGGGCATTCTCATGTGATGTACTATTTTTATACACGTTGGTTGGCATGTCTATAGACTACTGATTATTCTCACCTCTGTTTTGTGTTTGCAGATTTTTAAAATTTGAAGTTCTCTTGGTTTATCAATATATGTTAAAAATTGTATGCATGTGAAGTCAGCAAATGCCCTTTTTCATTCAAATAAGAGCAAAACATCTTGTGTTATGCACCATCTTGCTGCCTCTTAGCCCACGTCAACCATCCTTAATACTGTTTTTTCGGCCTAATGCAAATCATTATGTGTGTGTATGTGTGTTTGGGTGTGTATGTGTACCTGCATATGTGTGTACATGCTGATACATCCATGTGTATATGCATACAGAATTACATACTGTGCATCTAGACAAATAGGTGTATTTAAATGTACATAGACATTAAGTATATTTAAATGTACATAGACATGTACATATGACCATATAAAATATTTTTTCTGTAATTACTTAGTGGAGAAAAAGTTTCTATTAGGATTGTGTCTCTATGCATGGCAGCAAAACCATTCCTGGCTCCTAGTTTGGCCCCTGTTATGCATCTTTAAGCAGTTTGGTCACCTCTCTGTCCCTCCATCCTCCCATCTAACAAATATAGTAATAGCTGACCTGTCTACTACACAGGGGTGCTGTCAGCATCAAAGTAGATAATAATCATGACAGATTGCACAGTTACTGTGCAACTATAAGATGGCATTCGTTTCTGTCACCAAGCTCATAAGGGAAATCTGTTGCAGTAAGAAAGGCTGTTTTGAACTGGTACCAGTACTGTGGCTTGCATCCAGCTTCTGAATGAATCCTTGGTTGTTTGACCTTGTGGAAACAGGTTTGATTGAATAGCATCTACTTTGGAAAGGAGAGGTAGGGAAGTACAGAACATCTGGTCCAGCTGATGTTACTGTTCTTACTGCCTGTGTTCATAAAAACTTACATTTATAGATATGGGACTGGGTGGGGAATAAAAATTACTACAAACTACCCCCCCTTTCTTTCAGAGGATCCTAAATATGTATCTGCTGCTGGGAAATCTGTCTTTTTTTTGCCTCATGCTTCCACAAAATGCACAGGAGGCTCTTTCAATAATCACATTGACAACTTGGAGGTGTGATACTACCAGGTTTGAATTTAACATGTTTGAAAAACATCTTTTTGTCTTAAAGCCGATTCTCAAACATAGGACATTTCCTTGGAAATCACCTTTATCATCAAAAAGTTGTCATGGTTCTGTATATGTATATATGAGTATTATACTTCTTGTGAACAGATTGTGAGTTTTATATTCTGAATCATGCCCACCACAATAACTATACTAAATATATCATGGACGTGATTTTATTGGCTGCCTCTCTGCAGTCATTGCCTCTAATAAATAGTGTTTATGTCTCTTTTGATGGCACATCATTCTCTATGTGTATTCCTGTTCATTGCTTTCAGGATCCAAAGACCACTCTTAAGATAGGATTTTTTAAAAAGTTATGCCACTGGGATTGATGATGGATTTAGAATCTCAATTGAAGAATACCAGTTATTACCAGTAACAGAGAGTTGGGTGGGATTATGCTAAATCACCAAGCCACGAATGCCTACATCCTCTCTTTAATCCAGTGAGTTATTCCATTGTGTGTATTGTTTTTCAATTGTTTTTCAGTTTTGTCCAACTGTTTATGAACCCATTTGGGGTTTTCTTGAAAGGGATACTGGAGTAGTTTGTCATTTCCTTTTCCAGATTATTTTACAATTGAAGAAATTGAGGCAAACAGGATTAAGTGACTTGCCCAGGATCACATACTTAGTAAGTATCTGAGGTCAGATTTGCACTCAGGAAGTTGAGTCTTCCTGACTTCATGCCCAGCATGCTATCCACTTTGCAACCTAACTGTTCCCCCAACATTGTGTGCATATGTACAGTCAAATACTATCACCATGGCTCAGTAAGTAGCAGATTGGGACCCATAGACTGGACAGTCTTTCTAGAACAAGGCAGAAAAGCACAGGTTAGGTCTTATCAAGAAATCCAAGGAAGAGCTAAGTGTAAGAAGCAGGACAGCAGGCAAAAGACAGCAGTCCAAGCAGGGTTGAGCACATTGTTAGGGAAATCTCATCTGCAGCTAGTGGGGACCCAATCATGGAGACTTAGACTCAGATCTAGGACTCTAGTATCTGGGAGGACTTGAATACTGGACAATGATAAATTGCAAGACAGTTGATGTGATATGGTTATTAAGACAAATGAAATAATCAGATACAAATGACTCAAAATTTCAGTTCAGATGTTGACCTCAAGATGACTGGGGAAAACCATGAACTAGTCATCAATCTGTACCGTTTGGTAAAGAAAATGTGGTGTGCATTGGTGATGCTTCCTCTTCTAAAGGTCACACTGTATTTTTTAAAGGGTTTATTGATGTGGCAGAGTGGAAAGAATGTTGGATTTGATGTCAGAGGACCTGGATATAAATCTAAGCTCAACCACTTACTATGTGTGATCTTGTACAAGTTACTTAACTTTTTTGGGCCTCAGTTTCCTGATTTGTAAAGTAGACTGTTATAATAGTTTGCCTTTATATAGCACTTCAAGATTTGAAAAGTGCTTTATAAATATTACTTCATTTTAATCTCATTACAACCCTAGGAGCCATTATTATTTCCATTACACAGATGAGGAAACTAAGGCATACAGCTTAAGGGACTTGTCCATGGTCACAGATCAAGTGAGTATATGAGGCTGGATTTGAACTCAGGTCTTCCAGGTTCCGGGACCAGTGCTCTATCTCCTCTGCCACTAAATTTCCTCATAACTATATGACTACCATCATCCTTTATGGTTCTAAAAAATCTGATATTTTTGTTTTGACAGCTATTTTCCAACATAATTCCCCATTGAACCTTGCTGAGTTTCAAAGAAAAAGTTAAGCAACTTGACCCATAAAACCAATGCATCTGATAACGTCTACAGTATCCCATCCTCCTGGGTCCTTGCCGCTCTATGGAGAGGAATAAAGTATTTCATTGTCTGTTCTCCAGAACCAGAATCTCCAGAAGATTTTTCATTACAAACAATAACATTTCATTACAAGTAAAGTCTCTGCCTTTGAGTGTTCTTTTCATTTATGTATGTTACTGTCACCATTGCTAATATAGTTCTCCTGATTCTGCTTTCTTCATTCTGCATCAGTGCATACAAGGAAACATACAAGACCCCTCCCTTAAAAATTCATGCTGTTCATCCCATGGTTCTCTGAATTCCTCATTTCTTATAGTACATTAATATGGCAAAATTTGTTCATTTGTTCAGCCCCTCTCCAATCAATAAGCTCCCATTTTGCTTCCAGCTTTTTGCTACCATGAAAAAGGGGTCATACCACAATTGGCAGTGACCTTCAGTTTGAAAAGTCAGCATTAGAAAGTCTCTTAGAATGAGCTCACTTGATGTTAAATCACCCCCTTGAGAGAACTGGTCGTCAACAATTGCAGTGTGCGAAGAGGCCCATCTGGGACTATTTCATTTCTCAGTCTGGATCTATCCGGCTCTTGGCTACTGGCTCAGACAAAGGACCAGGGATTTTGTCTTTTGATGGAGATACGAGTTGACAGAATAACCTTGACTTTGTACGAAGTCAAGAAAACTGCTATAAATTCCTTAAAAAATTATTTGAGGAACACACACATGTTCAATACTTGCTGATAAGATTGACTCTTGTTTCCTATCTTCCTAGAATAAAATCTTGTTCTATAAATGTTAATAATTTATAGTTAAATTTGTATTTACTTAAATGAGCTTATTATAGCTCTTCCCTCTCCCCAGTGGAATCAAAACTCCTTAGGACAAGAACTATTTTGTTTTTGTAAACCCCAGCTCCCAGGATAGTGCTTTGCTTTGTGATTTTTAAGTCTGGACTGTGATTTTGTCAGGCTGCAAACTCCCTACAGACCAGCAACTTAGTCTTAGAAAACTCTCTGGGGCACTGAAAAATGACTTGCCCATGGTCACACAGCTACTATTTATAAGGAGTAGAACTTGTAACCCAGTCTTCCTGACTTCTGATTTCTCAGGAATTTTTAGCTGCTACACCATATTCTCTCTCTCTGTCTCTGTCTGTCTCTCTCTCCTCCTCCTCCTCCTCTCCCCTCTCTGTGTCTCTCTCCACTTCTCATTAATATAGTGAACTCCCTGTTAGGAAACTCCCTCTACCACTGAATAGTGGCAACGTATCTGCAAGTTGTTGTCTTACCGAATAGTAGGAAGCATTGATTTAGTTGTTGCCTGGTATCACAGCTATTGTGTGTCAGAGGCAGGACTCAGACCCAGGTCTTGTGACGCTATTCACTATACCCTTTATAACACAGTAGGTGATTAACCCCAGTGTTGTCATAGTGTTAGGGACTCATAAAATGAAGGGCACAGATTTACTTTTGTCAGTTTCTCATTTCTCCAGCTTCTACCACCTGACTACAGCCTACCTGGCGACAGTGACTCACTTTGTAAGCAAAGCAGTTCACAAAAATAAAAAAAGGTAAGTTTTATAAAAACCTGGAAGAAAAACAAAAAGAATAGAACCCTTAGCAAAAGTTTGCTTTCTCCTAATAGAAATCCCCTCCCTGGATGCATGGATTCTCAGTCACTTGTACTCCTGATGGACGCGTCCCTCTCCCTGTTGTCTCCACCAGGTGGAGGAGGCACAGCTCTCTGCAAGTTCCTCCATTTTGCTTTCTGGCATGGCTCAGCCTGAATTTCTTGTTGTCTCCTCCTCCAGCTCCATGTAGCTCCCAGAAATCATGCCACACATCACTCTCAGGCAAATCCCAAACCCTCTGGGTGGGCACATCTTTAGTAATGGATTGAATCATTGTTGGGGGCAGTCTTTGTCATCACAAAGAGAAGAGATCACCAACCACAAAAGAGTCTGTGCCATCAATTACAGATTCAAATATGGGAACTACAGAATTTGATGTGCTTTCCCCATCTGACACCTAGGAAATCTGTCAGAGGGAAACTAACATTTGGTTCCCCAGTTTGGCTTTTAAAGCCATTAATAACGTGACCTTTTTCTGTCTTTCTAGTCTTCTTAGACCTCTTTCCCATTTACATACTTTCTAAACCAGTGACTGTGCTTATGGATTGTGCTTTTCCCATAATACATTGCACTTCCCAGCTCCAGGCATTTTCATTGACTGTTCCCCATGCCTGGAACTCTCTCCTCATCTTGGCCTCCTATCTTCCCTGGTTTTCTTCAAGTCTCAGCTAAAATCCCACCTTCTGCATGAAGCCTTTCCTTGTCTTCCTTAATCATAGTGCCTTTCTTCTGAGACTTTCTCCAAGATGTATACATATGTATACACATATATATGTATATGCAGACATATACATATATGTGTGTGTATACATATGTATACATATGTATATGCACACATATAAGTATATATACATAAACACACACACTCATATGTATACATACATATAAGTGCTAGGTGGCACAGCGAATACTGCTCTAGGTCTGGAGTCACAAAGATTCATCTTTCTTTGTTCAAATCCAGCCTCAGATACTTACTAGCTGTGTGAGGCAAGTCACTTTACATTGTTTGCCTCAGTTTCCCCATCTATAAGATGGAGAAGGAAATGGCAAGAAAACCCCAAGTAGGATCACAAAGAGTCGGACATGACTGAAAAAACTGAACAACAGACACATACATATTCACACATATACACAATACACATGTATATATGCACACATATATGCAAATACACATATGTGAGCATCTATACATACATGTACATAGTTATCCCTATATCTATATATATCTTCTTTGTGCTTAGTTATTTGCATATTGTCTCCCCCATTAGACTGGGAGCTCCTTGAGGGCAAGAACTAATTTATTTTACCTTTCTTTGTAACCCCAGTGTTCTCATAGTGCCTGGCATACAATAGGTGCTTAATAAATGCTTGTTGAATCAACCTGACCAATCTTTTATTTCTAGCAAATCACTTCACCTTTCTGGGCCTCTGTTTCTTCATCTATAAAATGAAGGGATGGGACTCAATGATCTCATGTTCCTTCTCTATAGCTCTTTAAGCTATGCTGACTGAGTAACATTATGAACTAGAGAAAAGGGGAGCAATGCATAAAGAGAAAAGGGATGAAGGTGAGAGAGGGAAGGTACATGGCAGGAACATGATGAAGTCCTCTATCCAGGTGTGAAATGATGAGGAGTTTGCCATGGACCCCCTTTTTAAAAAGAGAATTTGGGAGAGCTCTCTAATGTCCATTCTCCATCCTCTCCAAATCAGAGGAAGTGATAGGTCCACCGTTCAAGAGGTACTGAAGAGGTGTGAATTTCAGAGTTGATTTGTTGTTTGTCCTTCATTT